ACTTTAAACGGAGGGTATATGTAGACCTTTTTGAATAGTTTAGGGGCATATTTGACCCTTTTCCCTTTTTTTATTATGTATAAAACTAATATCATATTTAGTTTATTATAATTAATATATGTATTAGCCAAGAGAATCAAGATATTATTTTATGTGTGATAACAGAGAACTAAATAATTAATACATGAATAGCTACTATATAAATAACTATCCTCCGCATAATTAATCTCTATATAAAATAATATGTAAATCTTCTTATAGTTAATATATGCATTATTAATATACGTATAACTCCGAATAATATGTAAATTTTCTTATAGTTAATATATGCATTACTAATATATGTATAACTCCGAATTGTGACCAACTACCAATGACCCCTTGGCACTTATTCGTACACCAATGGAGCAGTGAGTTCCACTCTATAAATTTGTGAACAAATTATTAAAAAATTCAATGGATAAAATTGGCCAGCAATAACCACGAAAAATGTCGGTTAATAGCTAAACAGAGTCCTCAGGTGTCGGCAAAAAGAATTCAATTATTACAATTATTCATGGCTTAAATTATTCATCCTGGTGTACTTATAATGTTAAAAAGTTTTTTGTATTTTTCTCTAATTTCAAAAAATTCTCTAGTTTATTCAAATATTCAGTGTTATAGTTTATGATTAAGATAACTGACCTTATTAATTATATTATTAATTCAAACTTAGATCTCTAATCTCAAGGACATTTTCACGTACATTTAGTTGGAAGGGATGTTTTAAAATGATATATTTTGGGAAAAAACAAATGCTATGCATGTGAATTTTTGTATGAAAAAGTGAGAAGGAATTATTTGAGAGTGAGCATTTGTACTTATTATTAATGAGATGTGACCTCGTAACCTAAGTTTTTTAAATAAGAAAAAGCACATGAAATCTAATCAAAATCATTTGGACCAAGAGGAGGGAACTATAATCTAATCCTTCCGGATCGTAAATAATTATTTGTTAGTTTTACTGTTTATTTATTAGTTTTTCATTTTTTATTTTTTACAATTTGTTTTTGATATATTTTACTTAAGTCAAAAGTTTATTAAAAACAGTTCATGTAGATTCACATGATTGAATAAATTTACTGATATACTACCTGATAAATTTTAGTTGAGTCAAGAGAAATATAAGTATGCTTTTTAGATTTGGCATTTTGTGGAGCTAGGATACGAGTTGTAAATTTCAATACTTTTAATTTTAATCATGTATTTATATTACAAATACTTAATGAATACATTCAAGTTATCTTGTATTCTAGAACTCAATGATTAAAAATGAATAAAATTAAAATCCCCAAAACTAACAAACTCTAAATTTTGACTTCACCGCTATTCTCCTTAAACGTTTTGCTTCTCCAAGATTAGTTTTTACCAACTTTACTTAAATTGAATAAAATTAATTAATTACTCAATTAAAATCCATATACACAAAAACAGACTATATGAAAAATACAATGGGGTGGCATATTTCGCGTTTTAGATAAAAATATTTCGTATTTTAGATAAGGATATTTCGTGTTTTAAGTAAGGACATTTTATACAAATTAATTGAACACTTAATATTTTTGAGACCATGGCTAAAACTCGTAGTTGTTCAAAAATGGTTATTTATTAATTTTTCTCAAATTTCGAGGCTCAAATTTGTATTTATGATTTTATTTTTCCTTAGACAATACTATAATTTGTAGACAAAAGATCTTAACTCTTCGTGACAAGAAAAAGAAAGATTGCCTACTTCTTTATATTAGCAATATTTTAGAATTTTAGACTAAAACACTCAAACTTTTATATTAGTAAATAATTTTTTTATAATAAGATTTGAAATAATATATCATAGCCATATGGCTAAGATTTATTCAATTTATAGCAACATTATTCATATAAATAAATCTATTCAATTTATAGCAATATTATTCATATAAATAATTATATCATCATATGAAGTTAATGTTTATATCTTCTAAATATAAATAATAAATTTCAAAATAGTGAATTTAAATTTAGACTTTTACTTTTGTTAATTTGTCTTAAAAGATTATGTGTATAAAATTAAATTATATTTTTAAGTGTATTTTAAAATAAATTATCACTCAATTAAGAAGTAGGAACCAAAGATGATGTTGAAAAGGAGAATGTAATTGGTTATCAAAAGAGTTAAAAATTTAATTTATCTCACTATTGCTATATTAGACATATGTTATGCAAAGTATAAGGGTAAAGTCTATAAAAACATTTCAATTTGAACATTGCTAGTGAGTTAGTTAAGTATTACAAAATATAAGTTGATTTTTTTTATTCCCATCTAATACAATAAAATTCAAAAAAACAATAAACAGTTAGATGAGCTTTGATGAGTTGATTAATGAATTAAAGGAATTCAATTAGTTAGTTGGGGGTGTCAATTAGTTTTAGTATCAATCGATGAGTTAATTAATGATTTAAAGGAATTCAATTAATTTTAGTATCAATCGAGTAAATGACTATGTATAAGTTAGACTGAATAAATAATAAATTATCTAACATATCTCTTATAAATAATAATTATCTGACATATCTCTTTTACTCCCATCTTTTACCTTCATAGTTAGTTAATTTGATAGAAGGTTTTAATATTTCAATTATTTGAATATATACGTATACCTTTAATTTTTTAAATAGTGACTACTTACAAACATTTAAAATTATCAATAATGGTGAATTAAGAAATATCATATTTCAACTTTTTTTTTTTGAGAATGGCTACACCAAAATGAATGTTCAACTAATACATTTCAGTGAATTACTAGATTTTGTCAACTAATATATTTAAGTGAGTTACTAGACTTTGTACATTAATAATAGTGCTTGTGAAAAAGTCAATAGGTGCTTAAGTACCCATTATACATAGTATATAGATCATTCTGATCATCAATTATTCTATTATTTAATCGTCTATATGTTATGTTAATTTTGTAATTTGTTACTATAAATAAGAATAATACACTTCTACAAATAAATCAAATATAACACACACAGATATATAAATATAAATTGTGGTCTTTTTAATGGGACGTATTTAGTGGTGAATTTTGCCGACAGGGATTTCGTGAACAATTAATTACCTCATATGTTATTACTCAAAAAATAGTTGAATATATGCTTATCTAGTGTCAATTGTTAGATAAATTTTGTTTGGACATTCAAATTTTTATTTATTCTAATCAAGCAATTAAATAAATTATAAAGTTTAAAATTTGAAAAAACTTTATATGAACTTGGACAAATTTAATTATTTGAATATATCATATTCTTTAATTATGTGATTCACCTCAATAAACGGTAATACTTCAATCCATATTACAATTCATATTGATATGACATACTTTACATGATTAACTTAATCACCCAATAAATACTCTTGAGAACATGCACAAAGTTTTTTTTTTCTCAAATTAATTTAAATTAAAAATATCTAATAAAAACATTTTATTACATGTTCAAATATTCAATTGAAATAAGTGATAATTTAATAAATTTACACGTTGATAAATTTAAAAAAGTTATCGATCTATTTATAAACATTGAAAAATAAAAAAAAGGATGGTGACAAGAAAGAAGAAGAAAAAAGGTTATTTGTAAGATACGTTGCTTGTGTTGGTCGAATTAATTCACTTTATTGAAGTAGAAGCTCTGCATAATATCTCATATATATTTATTTTCACACTTACTATAGTATAAGTATTTTTGCTTTTGGGCCATGCTACCTGCTAGCTGCCAATTAGCCATTTAAATGCACCTAAATTCTTGGCATGGTGACTGCTTTTTGCATGTGCTTCCATATGCTATTCAAAGCTCTATCTATTATTATCACCTACTATTAAATTGGATTTTTATTTTTCATCAAGGTTATAATAAGGTGAAAGAGTTGCACTTATTATATAATGTTACAATATACAAAATACACGTAAGATATTTGATATGGAGTTACCCATACTCTTTTATTTGAATTTTTTTAATCCCATATTGTTCATATCAAAGCAAGGTGAAAGAGTAGAATGGAAGGATATATTTATATAAAGTAGTTTTAATAAATAAATAAATTAGATCTATCAATAAATGAAGAGTACCTCATCTCGCTCCGACTAGAGTTGGTTTGATTTGATCGCTCAAAAAAGTCATTCGTTAGTATGACATGACTTATTTAACTACTAGTCTTTGGTATTTTGGACATTGATTTTAGGCCTTTTTTACCCTTCTTAATCTAAAAAATAACGATATCTTACGTTCTTGAACAGGACAAATTTAGCTATTACTTTTAAATGTGTATATCCACGATAATTTCATTTCTTTCGACGGAATTAATTAGAAGATGGCCTAGTTGTATTTAAATTCACCCCTATGCCTCCTCCAAACATCTTTACTTCTATACTTGACACATCATTCAAGAAGTCTCGTAAATTAAGTAAACGCATGCCAATCTAAAAAAAAATAGGTACGAATAGATAGACTAAGGATTTTGATTTTGTGGGTTCTAGATTATAGAAAATATAATTTATTGGATTTTTTAAATAATTATTATACATATGAAGTGAATTTTTAAATATAAAGTATAAATTAATACGAATTTGAGTAAAAGTTATTAAGTTTTACCAAACTCTTAAGTTGTAACTTTGCCCCTAATCTATTGATTAGCATATGTTAAAACATGTGTTGGGTTTCACATATTGATTATGAGATTATTTATTATGTTCATGATTTGAGGCAATTCTCATATTCAAATTAATTAAACGTGAGTAAATTTAGTTTTTGGGTTGAGCAATTAGGCCCAAATTAAAGTCTATTTTCTTACCATGATATTAGAGTCGTAATTACCTTAAACTTTTAGTTACCCATGTTGGGTCACACACTATCTTGTGCATATGAAAGGGGAACAATTTCTCACATCAGTTGTGACTTGTGAGACTAAATATTAAGCACCTTACTATTTTTGAGCGATTTTAATTTACGTCATGACTCAGAGGCTAGCATTTGATGGTTGAGTTTGATTCGATATTCATTTTCTTAACAATATCAACCATGAAAGAAATTATTCAAGAGCCTACTAATTTTCTTTTAAAAAAAGAAAAAAGAAATTCAATTCACACGGTATTCAATGTCCGCAGTGTGGGCAAAACTCGACTAATCCAAATTTGTGGACAACGATCCCATTTTTAGAATGGTAAAAAATGTGCATGGTATTTGAGACTTTGTATCATTTTTAATTACACGTATTTTAAATATCTTATGTATAGTTATACATGATCAATTGATGTACAATCGTACGTAGACCATTTTCTACTTTGGATTATTAATGGAGTTTATAAAAGATTTAACAGGTCGACTAAATCATATGTTTGGTGAAAGGGTCCTAGGAAATAAATTACAAAAATTAAAAAAAAAAGAAACTACAGCTGGTCCAATTATCTAAAGAATCATGTGAGGGATGGTGGTGATTATAGACTATACAGCCAAGATTCATGTGATGCAACATGGGAATTTTCTCATCACATAAACAAAAAGAAACAATCAGATCCGTATACAAATTAATACTAATTTCGGATGGAAACGGACCATAATAAAAAAGTTTTCTATCCTTAAGACTTAAATCGAGAACCTTAGTAATTAAGAGAGGAACAATCTCATCTTCTGTATCACATTGAATAATGATAAAAACATATTAGTATTTAATTAAAATTGGTTGATCATACGTGAGAAAAAACTCTGAATGACGATATTATACAAATTATATATATATATGAAGGTTGTGTGACATGATCAAAATGATGAAAGCTACTACATTTCAGAACGAAAATTGATCCTTGAATGTGTCCAAGGTGAAAATAAAACCTCCTTAATATTAGTCACAAATCCTTTATCAAAAGGATTTTTAGTGCTTCCATACTGCTGCCTAAAATTCTCATAAGCTGTCTGCCACAATAAACCAAACAAAAAAAATCACACTAGAGGATGTTAAGAATTTCAGTATTATATAACTTGATATTTAAATTAATCAGCTCAATAAGTTATGAATGCTATATGATAAAGGCAAAAAGAAACTCATATAAGTTTACTTTCACATGTTATAAATTTTTAATATTGATAATTATTTTCAAATTTATGATTGATTACATATTCTTTTAAATAATCTAATAATTTATTTACATTGTCAATACATAGAAACTAAACTCAAATCATTGTGTTGTTCAAATGTCGACTTCACAGTAATTGAGCTTTTATCTTAGGAATAGTGGCGACAAACAGGCGAATTGGTGGGTTGAGAATTACAAGTCAATACAAAACATGTAATACTTTGATCACCCCATATCTCATCTGGAAAAAAATGGACCGAGTAAAAGTTGGGTTATTGACTCGTATTAATAAATTGTACTCTATTTTAGAATTTAATATTCGAATAAAACTCAGTAATTAATTTTATAGTCTATTTGCAAGAAATATTCTACTATATTATTTACCTACATTATACAATTGAATTCAAAGTACAATTCAACAAGATTCCAACTTAACCACAACTAAGAAACAAATCCCTAGGAACCGATCAAATATGAACCGATCAATTAGATAAAATATGGACTCATTTTATCAGCATTCCCCGAAAACAATACATTTTGATATTGATATATGTAAAGTTGAAACCGACCTGATTTGTAGCAATGAGATAGAAATGATAACAAGCCAATCCACCAACAAAACATGCACCAACAAAACTAAAACATGCCAACACCAATGTCTCAGGGCAATCTCTCACCAAACCAATCAAACCATTGCCACCATCTTTTTGTTGAATCTTTAGACATGAAAAAACAAATATGTAGACAAAGTAAACATTTGCAATAACCAGTAGCAACACATAAAGTCGATAATTCCTCTGCATAAACAAAAAAAAAGTTATTAGATACGCAAAAAATATTTATTTATCGATCTTAATTCTTTTGTATAATTCGAAAAATTGTACTAACCAGTCCGATGCATTGACCAATCCAAGGGCAATGATGGTCAAATTTATCGACACAATTGTCACACACAATGCAATGGCAACTCCTAGCCGGACGATATATCTTACAAATTCGACAATATTTTAATTTCAATTTCGAACCATTTATGAACACTCTTTTGCTTCTTACTCTCCCATTTTGAGTCGATTCAAGAAATAGTGATTCATTATTTCGAGGAATAATTCCAGGATCAATCACACTAACCATCAATAAGTTGGCGAAAACCTGTAACGAAAATGATCATATTAGAATTGAAGAAAATTAATAACTTGATAGATTTGAGTACTAGAAAGTTATAAAGTGACTCACAATTAAGGTCAATAACACACATAAACTGATTTTTGGTACATCCTTTGTAACATAAACAATAAAAACCAAACTTGATAGACTAATGGAAACTGTAGTTAATAGCAACCGTCTTGGATCCGGCCCACATATCAGTAATCCTTTGAAATAAAATACCTGCACAAAAGGAACGATCGATTAGAATGTACGGAGGCCTTACGAAACAGTAGTAACATACGTACATTTTTTCCTGGCCAAACATGATATAATCTGACTCGTTCAATTTGATCTTCACGATGACTTTGTGGTACATTCTCTTCGTTAAGATTTCTATTTCTAATTTCAATAATTTTACGCCATAAGATGAATAATATTTTCTTAATTTTTGCGACAAAATCAATCTCAACTTCCTCTATCGATGAATTATGTGATTCCGTTGTTTCGATAACCGTATCCGCTGGTGAAACTTCTGGAACTATTTCAATTTCTTGAATTGGTTGTTGTAGATAAGTCATTATTCATTTGTGCAATGAAAAAGTTCAAAGGCGGGTGTTGAGAATTTGAATTGTCATTAGTAACTAACTTAGAAAAACTGAATTTTGATTCTACTCCCTACTTACTGGGCCAGATTATTGATCCACAAAGTATAGACTTACGGGTGTGAAGTGGGTAAATTGTCACTTTTAACACATGTCATCAAACATTAACCACTATTTTTAAAGCTATTAACACATTTAATCACTATGTTGATATGGAAAAAGTTCTAGACAAAAGTTATCTCCAACTAACACAAGGAGCAACTAATACAACAACATACAAAATGAAATCCTACTAATGAGGTTTGAGGAGGTAGAACGTACACATATAATAGATCTTATTAGCATTATCCTATGAATATAGAGTGGTTGTTTCTGAAAGACCTTCAGCTCATATACAACAATTCAAGATACAGAGAAGAATATATAGCGAATAACAAAGAAATAGTGCAACGTCTACTAGAAAAAAGCAACAACTACACCACAATAGTGCAATACTCAAAACACAACACACAATATATATACTAGAATAGAGTATTAAATGGATATCAAAACACAAGAACTACAGTTATACAACTAGTATACATTTTAAAACCTAAGAACGATAATTTTACTTTTCATATTAAGATATATCTATTTCTCGATCATTTTTCAAGGACGCGAGTTTTACTTCTAGACAGGATAAAGACTTCAATAATATATGTTTTGGGCTTGGACCAAAATATTTGGGCTAAATTTAATTTGGAAAAATTGTATAAAATAGCAAACTAATAACCTAAATTAAATTGAATAGCTAGGGTTTGATTTAATTGTGTTCCATAGCAAACATTGACAAAAATTTGCCAGGCGTCTCTCTCCCAAAAGTCTCGCTCGCCACTCTCCCATT